GTTGTACACTCTTCATGTAATTACAAACAGTAGGGATTATCAATGTATAATTCCGTATACAAATACTAATAAAATCCTGTCGGCAATGTAATCCGCCTTAAACAATAAAAAAAAAAAAAACAAATAAATGCATTAAGATTAGCATTAGTAGTAAATTCAATACGTAGCATAGATTAATTAATTATAAATTAATAGCTTTCTGATTTAATTACAAGGTTAATACATTTGTTATCAATTTAGTTTCAATTACATTTCAATTATAATATGTATATAGCATATAATAGCATATTAAAATTTCAATATTATTATCGTTACATATTGGTATATAATAAGCATTAATTTCAGAGAATTACAGAGATTATCTTATAAAAAAGATTATTACACATGAATGTATGCGTTAAAAAAATTGCAGATTATCATAAAAGAATCTTCGAAAAGATTAAAAAAAAAAAAAAATCTTATGAAAAGATTAAAAAAAAAAAAAAAATACATTCACTAATTATTTTATATAACACCATTTGGCCGATTTTCTTCCAAGGCCTTACTTAGATTATATGTTCATTTTGTTTGCTGTCTTCGTGATCGTGCAGGCATAATGTAATAATTTAACTCCTTAATATCATGAGTGGTTTCTTGTGAACTTGTTCTTGGCTTTCCTTGTAACTTTTTTTGACCTTTACTTGCAGTTCCTTTACGTCTAGCAACTGAAGCAACCTGAACTTTAATCCTTTTACTACCATGCTGATGACTATTACTATTTACTCGATTCTCCTTCCAGTCACAAGTTTGAAAAAAAGAAGCTATAGCTGGACGGATATGAGTATCTTGTATCAAACGGCATTTTTTATAGGCTTTAATAAACTTGTGCACACTTTTGTTAAATGTAGGATTATTTTCTTTAATAAGATTTTCTATATCATTATAAAACCAACGAAATTCATTTACAGTTAATTGATTGAGATTTTCATCATTTTCACTATCATTACTATCATTGCTAGATTCATTGATACTAGATTCATTGGTACTCTTATCACCACTATCAATATCAGTAGCTTCATTATTTAAAAATTGAGAAATGACATAGCTGAAGACCCAGGAAGCATATTTTCTTTGTCATAATTATTGAAATTACAATTTGCATTTTCAATTAAAGTATTATATGTCAACATTGTAGGTTTAACTACAGACTCTTTATCTATTTGTGCTTGATGAAGATTTGCATAAAAGCTAAGTTCTTTACATTTTTCTCCTAATACTAAGTAAGCATAATTGTACTGACCAACTATAAATATTGTGGGTAACTGATTTAATCTACATATACTATAGTGAATTGCTATAGAGGATTGATATTTGCATAGAACCCCTGTTGGATCACACTCACACATTTCAAGCCGCATATCTACAAGATACCATCATTAGGATTTTTGCTACTTCGATGCTTATATATCATTGATTCATGATTTATAATTTTAATATCATCTAGTGATCCAATTTGCCAACCTAAAAGTTGAAACCGATATGCAATGAAATTGTCAAGTTTATTATGAGCAACCACTAGCAATTTACACATATAATAGAGGTCTATTGAATTAATTATAAAGTGAAAAATTTGTATTACATTGTATACTTGTATTTAACCAAATATAGCATCTTTAATTACTTGAATTCTAGCCTCTGAGAAATTATTTGTATGATTATTTTGAACAGGTAAGTGTTGGCGATATGCAATAGCCCATTCCTTATGTCACTCCTATATGACTTCAAAATGTTTTTGAAAACGTGAATACTTTAAATATACTTGACTTGATATAAACATAATATGTGTGTCTTCAAGCCTAGTTTTAGTTTTTGCAAAAACTATCTTTTTCAAATATTCAATAAGGGCAACACAATCATCTTTATTAATTCTATGCTTGCTATTCCATAACCATTTCTACACTGCTTGTAAAAAGTGAAAAACACATAGTAATAATATTGCTTCATTCCATATATTATGTAATGCTGTTCTTTCTGCTTTACAATCATCAGTTATAAAAATTTTTGGTCCAATTACAGGCCCACGTCCATTAAAAGCTAATATTGGCATAACACACTTTAGCATATCTAAGGCTTTTGTAAAAGTATTAGTTGTTTCATCAGAAGTAAGTATTATTGCAAGAGGCAAGCTACCGATAGGTGTGCTTGTTGAGAGGATTGTCATTGAGGTGTTAAGTACATCAAGGTCTGCTGTACTATCTATGTAAACTAATTCGCCAGCTTGCTACAAAGCATGGCAATGTTTCATAAGGTTTGTTACAATAACTAAAACAAATGGTTGCCTAGGGTCAGTATTTGTAGATGCAATATATGGTTGCATTAAAGCATTTCTTTTTCTATTAGAATTAAATTCTTCAACTTCTTCCGCTAATCAACTAAATATTTCTTTTCTATTTCGTGCACTAATAAAAGTGTCAAGGTATTTCTGATGAAGATAATAAACATTGTATTTATATAAACAAATTGCTCTATCAGCAAGAATAGCTTCATCATTATCATAGTTTAACTGTATCTCCTCCATATACGAATGATAAGCACTACTGAGATTGTAACCAGCATGAAAAAGCCTAAAAAATACTTCTTTTGTCTCATTAGAAATAGGACGAAAGCTTGTTACATGGCCTGATGTGAGAGGATGATTATGATGAAATTTTAAAGAAATTATACAGAGATATGAGTCAAACATATTCCGTAATTATATGCTAAGTGTTGCCAGACAGTCAGTATCTCATATTCGTGTGTTAACTATTTGATTTTTTTTATTATCTATAGTTTTGTTTTTTGCATTAGTATTATCATTATTTTTTTCTTTTAGTCCTTGCTTTAGCTTCACTATATAACTATGAATACAATGGAATCATTTAGAAAGAAGGTATTTAACTCCTTTAATGATTCATCCCTGTATTTCCCGCATAGTAGTCTTGTGCAGATTGAAAAATTCATCAAGCCATTTTGTAGTGTCATCAACTGTACAGATATTTATACGAAGTTTTGCTTCAAATGGATTAGAAAATACACCCAAAAAATTTAATACTTGAAATAGTTCAAATGAATTAACAATATAATAGTAATTTAAAGGCAAAGAACGTTCTAAAGTAGTAAGATTAATCATTGTAATCTTTTGTAACTCAATATCCTGAGACAAAGAGATATGTGGTATAGAGGATTGTATAATTTTATTATTTGATTTTGATACCATTTTTTTTGAAGTAGCAGGCACGTCAATAGTATTCATATGTTAAAAAAAAATGAAGTAAATATTATATTTACTTCGCTATTGGGAATTTAAAAATCATGCAAAATATCATTATCAGAATGTAAATCATCAAAATAAATGTAGTCATTAAAATGTCATAAAATGCAAAAAGTAATCATTGAAACATAAAATGTAGTCATAATGTAACATACAAATATTATTATATTTTTTATTTTGATGTTTCTCCTACTATAGTACTAGCGTATTATATTAAGTAGTAGCACTAACTAATTATTTTTATTATCATAAATATACAAGCTAGTCAACCTATTTTACATCACTAACCATTCATTGAAACTATTGTTTTTGCTTTCGCTTTAATAAATATTTAATATTCTTTAGATCAAATACTTGAAACTTATGCATTAATAAAGCCTTTAATTTTATTTCAATGTTTATAACAACTCCATAATATGCATACTTGATAATAAATTGATTCGTTTAAGATGGTTCAACTTGGGTCTGGTGATCTTAGTGTAGTGGTTAGGTTGCCGGACCACCATACAAGAGGTCTAGCGTTCAAATCCCACTGTATACAGAATTGAATAATTACCTAGACATCTGTATCCAACTTACGGTGAACTCTGCTCGTTTCTGGGGTTGTAACCCTGTAAATCAAGTTGCACCAATGCCATTCAGGGTATTGGTAGTGTGGCAGTAGTTAATCACAGGATGATATACGCACACGAATAAATCTGAATAGGAAATATTAGTGTA